AAAAGAGGGGAGGGGAAGGGAGCGGGAAGTACGGACACACAAGTCACAACTATCGACGTAACAGACTGAAGAGGGGCGAAAGCCCGAAACGCGTTTCTGTAAGAAGTAAATGTAGGTGATGGAATTATTTGCCAAGTGTCTATAAATGCACCAAGTTGTGACATAGAATCAGAAGAAACAAGAAAAAGAAGACACGGTTTCGACAAATAACTAAAATTTGGGGAAGTTAACCTATATTAATTCATCTCAGACACTATGTACGGTATGTACAGTACATCTTAAAAATGTATATGTGTGACATGGTCATACATTTATGATTTTTAGTCTATCTGCCATATGAAAATTTGGCTTATGTTGTGAGGTATTCGAAATTTTAAAAATTGATTTTTTGGAATATTATCATTCTAACATTCCATTTTTGAATTATTTTTCATTAAAAACCTGAGGCAGGCTTTCGTAAAGGTTGAAAACATTCAGAGTTTTCTTAAAAGTTCTGTTACTGGTATTTAAAGGTTTTGTTTTTATTTGATTGCTCCAGTAATTTGAAAAGGTGATATTTATAAAACTATAATTTTTTAAGTTTTAAATTTGAAAATTAGTTCAAAGAATTATTGTTTAAAGATATTCATATCTTGCAAGATAAATTTATAATTAAATCCGTATGATTTTTGTCTAAAGAATTATTCAAAAAATAGAATGTTTTAGAAAAATGTACAAATAATTCCTAATATGAAATAAGTAGCTATATTAATTTGAAACTTAGCATTCTATGAACTATAATGCCAGTTGATGACAGACAAATATGATCTTCAATAATATCAATCAATAGAGATGAGGAATAGAAAATATCACTGATCCACATTATTCACAAAAATCATATCTATAAACCAGATTTAATCAGGATCCCTCACATTAGTAAGGCAACAATTTAGCATAGTCACTTAACAAATAATAAAACTGTTCTCTAAGAGAAAACATTGAGACATATTTTTCATGCTCATTTTATGATGCATTATTAATATACATTGAAAATACTAAAGACATTAATTATAAATTTTTCAGTAATATTGAATATAATTTTAATTTCAGTATGAGAATAATGCTAAGTACAGTAGAGCGTCGATTTTCCAAAAGTCAATCATCCGAAAGAATTAAAGTCGGCAAATTTAAATTTTCGCCAGTGCTGTGGCACTTCAATCTTTGGCTATGTCTTGGGCTACTCAAATATTTTAAGTTTTTGATTCTAAATTAACATCTGAAGTATATTTTTTTATTTTTTTTATATTTTTCAATATATTTATTTTGTTTGTACAAAATAAAAAAATAATTTTTAACGATACAATAGTCTTTGTTAGGCTTAACATCGACGAAAATTCAACGCGAAGCGACACACAACGGAGAAAAATTTCAACGTCGGATACATTAAACTATTTTTTGGTACATAAATCGGTTATCCGAAATATCAGTTATACGAACAACCCCAGTCCCCAATTGATTCGGAAAATCGACGCTCTACTGTATTTACAAATGACCAGCAAAACTGTATACATTTATTATTTTATTTTTAAATACAATAGATAAAGTCAACTTAAGATAACCATCCTCCAGACATAAGTATAAAAAAAAGATCTTGTTAAAAGTTTAAAAGATGTATATACTGCATCTTGTTTGAAAAAATGAGAAAACTTATTTTAATTTCAAAGATCAAATATTATAGAATTTACAATATTAAGAGCAAAACTAAATATAAACAGAAGTAATTTTATTTGTTAATAATGTGTATATATATATAATGGTACAGTGAAGCAAAACAGACAGCTAAACTTCTTGGCCGTCAACTGGCTGCTCTAATTTACATATTGAAAATATATCTTCATACTTAAAAATTTACCAAAATATAATAAAAATGTCTTCATATTTCATCCCTTTTTCACACTTCAGAAACCGAACAGTATTACAGTAAAATCGACTATTAATTGGAGTTCTCATCTGCCTCAGTATGTAAAATGTTACAAACTTTCCTCTAGAGACAGCACAATTAAAACTATTTTCAAAAATGACCAACAAAATACATCTTTATGATTACAAATAAATATATGAAAAATAGACACAAAACATGTTATTCATACTGTAAATAACATGACTGCAAATTAAATTGTTAAAAAGAATATCTTTCATTAGCAAATCACACCATTTAATATCTATCAGTTTAATATCAATTTTTGTGAGATTGGCCTCATCACTATGCCAATGAACTGTTGAAGACTAATATGATCAATGAGGCAATCAATAGATAGTGGGATCAACATTTATATCAATATGAAAAAGAAAGAGGAAAAATTAATTATGAAACTGTATATTAATAACCAAATAAGCAATTCTGTTCCTTTATAGAAATCAGAATTGGCTAATTGTGATTCAAGATATGTGTAAATTAAGAGAAAGATGGGAGCCAGAAAACAAACTTTCCTAGGAGAAAGAGACTTCAAGCAAGAAATGAGTAAAGAGAACAACTAAGATCTTTGTTTGTCATTGCTGTAAACAGAAATCCTCAATTGTCTTCCTTGTGAAAAATATCCTTGTGCATGTTATGAAAAAAGCATCCAATAAAGTTCCTTTCCCTGTTGAACTACTGACTAGGAAAAGTCAGCAAATATGAAGTTGTTTTGCCACCAGTCAAGCTAGTGAATGCAATTACTTTAATTGAATATGTATTTATGCAATGGACATTAGACTTGTTGTACTCTCAAACTGCTCTATTTTTCATATCTTATTATGCAAATTGTCTGCAAGTTATGTGAATGCAAACTTCCCCAATGTATATTGATCACATTTAACTAGAATAAATTTTTTGATTGAAACAGACAAGGAAAGTTGGTTTCCCATCTTATACCTCTAATATTCATGCTTTGCATATGTCAAAAAGTAAAACTGCCTGTCATATAGATTGAGTTTGTCAATTTCCAATAACAATAAAACTCAAGTAGTATCCTGATGTAATTAAAAAGGATTGTCTCAACTTAGTACAGAGACCCCATATAATTGTGTTATTTGATTTTAATGTTTGGTATTGGTTTTCCTTATCGGAAGAATTTGAACGACATTTAAATACCTGAACCAGTCAGAGACTTGACAAGTGCATCCTTTCCTTTTAGTATAAGAGGAATTGTTCTTTGTTGTACAGAAGTCATCTCTGTAATTGAAAACCTATCCCTCAGGCAAGCAATCTAATAAAAACAAACTGCATTAAATATTTTTGTGATGTAAGATATATTTTATATTAAAAAATAATTTGGCATGTTATATTTTCTTATGAAAGAAACAGGAAAATCAAAAAGTTAAAATAAAATTTAAATAAAATTAATTTTACCAAGATGTTTGGTGAAATTATTTTCTTAAAACTATTTTTATTTCATCAAAATTTATGAAATCAATATGTGATTAATAAATAATAAAGGAAACTTTATAGTTTTAATACATCTCTTTTTTATTTCTTACTATTAACATACCAAATGAGGATGAAGTGATAACTTGCTGAATTCTTCATTAGAAAATAATGGTTCTTCTACTTGTTTAACTTCTAATCTAATAATTATAAAATTAAATTTTAATTTAAATCAGAATATATTATTTAATTTTTAAATTATTAGCTTATAACAACTTACAATTTTACATTTGGAATTTCAGGATTATGTTTAAACAGAGATGAAATAACTTGCGTCGATAACTTCTCTTCAACTGGTTTGATGTCTCCCTCTTTAACTTTTGTATCATCAACTTTAATATTTTGATCCTTTTTCTTTTTTTTCAATGGTTTCTTTTTACTAGTGACATTTTCAACATTTAACTTTTCACTTTTCTAAATTTATTTAAAACGAATTGACATATCATTTAGAACATTGTATAAAAACATGATTTTACTAATATATTAAACATAAATGTATTATCTTATTTATAATTACATATTTGAATTACAGTATATTTTAATTATTTTCTAGTATTTTGAGATTTCATTACATATATAGGAGTGAAAAACCATTCAAAAAACTATTTTTGTCAACTAAATTTCAATATTTTATCATCAATGGAATGACAATGAAAAAACGATGATATTCACTTAATATATGACTTTTTATTTATTTTTTTACTTTTTCTGCCCTGTGGGTACAAAGGGCACTTTTTTCAAGCCTATCATGGGTTCAGCCAGGCCCAAAACAAAGCAGCCAGTTGGTGAAGAACAAGGCCTCATGTACTTGAAGACAAACCTCACCCAAAAAATTCCTAGGGATTTTTGACCACTTGGATTTGATCCTGGATCTCCCCAGAGTGTTAGACTAATATCTTAACCATCTCAGTTATCCAGCCAGTAATATATGACTTATAAAATTAACAAGAATAAAAATTTATATTGTTTCTTATGCTTTATGTATATTTATTCTATATATATAATATAATTATTGTATATTTCATACTATACATTTACTTACAATTTAAATTATAAAACTTAACATTTGAATTATTACTATTATTTTAATAAAATCTAAAATTTGAAAATTTCAGAACAGTTTCATTTCACTTAAATGCAAAGTTTAATGAGCAATTATTTATTGTGACATCATCACAATGCTCGGCTGCAAATTTCTCTGTCTCAAATTATTAGTGTCTTGCCCCTGTATCATACTTTTCCTGATAACAACAGAGAACTAGCCAGTCATCTATGTAACTCCATTCAGGAGAAAATTTTTTAATGAATTCACATGATTCCAGTGTAGACCAGAAGTTTGTATATAGTTTAGTCATGACCTCTTGCCCCTAATCTTTTCATATCTGATCTCAACGTTCATCTATCTAACACCTGTCTCAAGATTAAGGAAGACATGTCTGTCTTCCTTAATCTGGACAGACAGATGGCAGTGGTAATTTATAGGTCTACAATTTTTTAAATTGCAGCCCAACTAGCATTCATTTTATGTACCATCATCTTATAGATTATATACAGTAATACCCCGAACTTACGCGATAGGTGGGACCAAGCGATAACCGCGTAAGTCAGGGTATAATTTCGCAATTTATGTAAAATCCAAGTCAAATATATATAAGCTAATAAATGTTCTCGTTAATCTTATCTCGTCTTTTGATTCGTTGACGGTTACAAAAAATCACCACATAGAGTCTCTCAAGTCTCCGTAGATATAACAAACACAGAAATAAATAACATAAAATAAATTGTAGCTATGTGTCGATTCCACGTGACATGTCCAAACATGCAAGCTGAACAATAGTGTGGGAGGAGTGAGTAATCAAAAGTTGCATGGCGCTCAAACAAAAGATGAATCGACGAGATTTGAAAATCGCGTAACTCTGGGTTTGCGTAAGTCGGGGTAGCGTAAGTCGAGGTATTACTGTATTACATATAATTGATTAATTGATTAATTGATTAATTGATCTATCTACAAGAAATCCTCATTAGTTCAAAATTCAAGGAATGAAATAATTGCAACTTCAAATTATCTGAGATTTACATATATCTGTACAATATGCCAAATATCATGTAACTGATGTAATGTATTAAGCAAACAAAATATGGCTACATATACAGAATGTTATTTTTGATAATTAATAATTAATAATAATAATATAAATGTAAAGGTAAATAACAAAAATCTGGTGAAAACCTCACAGGTTGCCAGATAGGTTTTATAAAAGTAAAACAGAATTCCTTGAAATGTAGCCCAAATTATTTTTAAAGTGGTCCAAAAAGTAGTAAGTCACCTAATTGTAGACGCTTGTTGCCTAGAGCCCTATAAATATCACAATCTACTACTTGTAGCCCAATCTTGCAATCCCAAAAACCAGCCATATTTTATGAGAGAGAGAGAGAAAAAAAGGATAGTCCATGGGTAAGGTGACATCCAAAAATGTGTTATTGTGAAAGCAAAGCCATATTGATTAGATTAGAGTTGTTCTTGGTCTATTGTTCTCTTGTAGTATGGAGGCATTTCAATCTAAACAAACAAGTTAACATATGCATAACACAGTTTGGACTGAATGTTCACTTTGAATTTCAAAGTAACTATATTTCAAACTAACTGAATTCCTTAACATGTAAATCTCTATATCCCTGGCCAGAACAAACATTAGACCACGAAAACTGATTGGCTATCTATATCCATTATTAATATATGGACCGTTTATTTTGAAAGTGGTGTAAGTCCATTTTTTCTTCTTTCAAGATATTCAAACATTTTCATTTTAGTTGATTCAAAAATACAGTGGTGCCTCGTACAACGTACTTAATCCGTTCCAGGTGCACGTCCGTTAAGTGAAACGTCCGTTATACGAAACGCATTTTCCCATAGAAATACATGTTAAAACATATAATTCGTTCCGCAGCATAAAATAACCGTACTGTACCATAAAAAATGAAAATGGAGCAGACACCAATTATGCCGGGTAGTCAGATGTTGTGAGGAGGAGGTGGAAGAACACTTTCTTTACACATTCATACAGATACAGACTTTTTACACATTGCAGCGGGTCTTTTTTTATTGTTTTTTAATCGGAGTCAGATTCAGGAGAGGCTACCGGAACTTGCAGGGTCAACTTCTCTTGTTCCATCCTTTGTTTTTTGCCCGCTGGCTTCTTGAAAAACATGACCAAGGTGGTCTGTTTCTCTTTCTTCTTTAACACCTGTCGGAAATGACGGACAAAGGTGTCATCGTAGAGATCATTGATCCTGTTGGCCTCAGCTCTGTTTGGATAATGAGTGTTGGTAAACTCCTGAACCTCTCCCCATTCGACAAGAAAGTTTTTGTCAACTTTCACTCCTGATGATTTCTTGCTTTGTTTCAATTGAAATCACCTTTCTGTTTTTTTAGAAGCCATGATGCATTATAAATGACTTAACTTGCCAGATTATATGATACGAATAATTCTTTATTAATTAAGATCACTAAACACTTCTACGAGCTACTCTCGCTCCGTTTGTTTTTTACAACCTCTTTTCGTCCCGCCACCTCGGCATCTACACAATTACATTTCGTTTATTTGAATCGTCAACATATACTGTATTACATTACATTTAATGTTTATTTAAATCATCAACATATATTACATTACATTTCTACTTCAGATATACTAATAATACATTCTAATAATACTAATATATCCTAAAAATAGCAGATTGTCATTGGCAACGGCAAAAGAGTGGAAACATCATTCGCACTTGTTCGAAAAAAGTCCATTGTTCGTCTCACGTAACTGCCGAATGGAAAGTCCGTTGTTCGCAGCAAGTCCGTTGCTCGAGTCACGTAACGGTCAAACAGAAAGTCCGTTATTCGCAGCGTTTGCTATTCGAGACGTACGTTATACGAGGCACCACTGTATAAATAAAGTGTACTAGGTTTGACAATGTTTCTATAACTTTAGAAATATGTAAGTTGATTGCATAAAGATTTCTATGTGAATTTAACTAAACTAATATATTCTTTCTGGGCCATAAATGGACTTACACCACTTTCATAATTATTGAACTGTAAAATTCATTAAATTTCTATTATGTAAAACTCAATTTCACATTGTGTTTTATTCTGATTTTGTTTATATATAATAACAAGAAATAAAATAGTGTTTTTATTCTAAACATTAAAAATATTTACTTTTTGCTAAACTATTTTATGATAAGTTTATCATTATTATGAGCTTACCATTAGACACTGCTTTTCATTTAGGTTTATTACATGGATTTTTTTTTCCATTCCATCAAATTGTACATTTGTTGGCAATATTCATAGTTTTACTCCTCTGTTGTAAGGGGCTGTCCATAAATGATGTCCACACTGGAAAGGAGGGAGGGAGTTAAGACAAGTCGGACAAGGGGGGTTGAGCATTAGTGGGCATCCATTTATTTCATTAAATTTTATAGACTTTATGCATTTTATTATATTTATTCCAAAGTTTCTTGTATGTTTCATTTCTACTTATGGTATCTATCATTCATAAAGTGATGAAGGTTTTAATGGGGGTTGAGTTATGTTGGAATCCAAAGAGGGGAAGAGGTTACAAAAACTTGGACAAACTGGGACAATAAGGGGGAGTAAAAGTTTCAAGGAAAATGCAGATTTAATTTATGGACAGCCCAAGTGCTTAATTACACTGCAGAAAATGGGCTTACACCACTTTCATGATCAATGGTTATACAATGTCATTTACCGATGAATTTTTAAATGATCAAAGAGTATGGTTATTTTAAAATGCTAATTGCAAATTGTTTATAAATAAAAAGTTTACACTAAATTGTATGTATATTATGTGATTTCTCAATTTTTTTCAAAAATGGACTTACATCACTTTCAAAATAAACTGTCCATATATAGATTCTATTAGACTTGAAGCTGCTCTACATTTCTGGAGAGCAACTTTTTATTAGCATCCAGATGGATACATGCATTGAAAAGAACTATAGAACATCTATCTTACAAATTGATAATTAAAATACTTAGCTTTGTTCAAATTCTAGTTGTAATGTATATGCATATGAAATTAAATTTATTGATTTCCTACTCATAAAATTCATAGAAACTCATGGAATACTACAGTTAACAGACAAAATTAGAATTATGCAATAATTTTCTTGTCCTTAACATTTTATAATTGATAATTCTCAATACCTTCATCATCATCAAAATCATAGTTCACTTTTTTAAAACAGATTTCAAACTCTATAATTTTTACAATATGCAAAAATAAATAATTTAATTATATTAAATAAACTTGTTATTTTGTATTAAAAAAGCTATGTCATCCTGGACTGGATTCAAAGGTAATGTTCATGTAAGATTTAAATATAAGATTTAAGAACTTATAAAGCTACTGTATATCAAATTTGTCCATAATGTATAGTTACATTGTCCATAGTTATCAATGTTACAACTGTATAATCATTGCAAATCTGCTTTAAAAAAGGAAACAAACTATGTGGTTTAAAAGTAAATTTTACTTTTTGGAACTATAAGGTTATGGAAAAACAGGGAACTATATTTTACTGATAAGAAAATTAATATACAGTAGAGCAGGGGTGGCCAACTTTTGTGTACATAAGATCTACTTTTTATCTTAAAAATGTGTTGTGATTGACTTGTTGTCGTAGGCATAATCTAAGTAGCAAGGGGGAGGTGTGAAATACATACTATGTTCAGATAGGTAAGAAAAGCCACAATTTAATTTATAACATGAAGAAAAGGTACTTACATTTTAAACATACGAAAAATGTAACTCAACGTTGTCACTTTTGGGGACCACCACTTCACCCTTCCTCTCTCTGCCATGTCCCGACCTACTCTCTCTGTCCTTCTTACCACCTTTCTTTTTTCGGTTTTATGACCCTTTGTCCTTTGTCTACATTTCTTATTTCCCTTTTACAACTGTACACAAATGGATTGCACATGGACTGACAAAACCACATCTGAGGGAGGATGCGGAGGTCCAATATCATTACAGTCACGTTTGCGCGATATGTTCATGCATTGTGATCAATTATTACAAGTGTAACACGTCAAGTCAGTCAAGACATTGCGAGCGATTGACCAAAATTGGCTTCGTGATCGACTTGTTGGCCACCCCTTCAGTAGAGCATCGATTAACCCAGTGTTTCTCAACAGGGACGATATCGCCCCCATGTGGGCATTTTTCCATGTTCAGGGGGCGATTAGCAACAATTTATATTTTGGGGGGCAAAAAACAATTTTCTGGGTGATATAGTAAAACATTATATTAAGAATAATTAGATATTTTATTCGTTATATCATACAATAATTAAACAAATAACATTATACTAGTCACTAGTCTATTCAATGCAGTACAAATTTGGCGTTAGCCTTGGCCCTCGGCATCGGAATTTTGTAGTGAAGGGGGTGATACTAAGTAACAGTTTTATTGAAAAGGGCGACGATTCATTAGAGGTTGAGAAACACTGGATTAACCAAATACCAATCAACCAAAACATCAGTTAACCGAAAGCGTTCCAGTCGGCAAATTCAAATTTCCCCCTCCCCGTCAACCTAAACTATAGACCTACTTTAATGTACTACTTTATGCAAAGTATGTAAGGTATATATTTGTAAGACATGTGATACAAAATACATACAGTACAGTTTTGTGTTTAATATATTTTTTCATAAATGATCAGTTATCTGAACAACCCCAGTCCCAAATTGTTTCAGATAATTGATGCTCTACTGCAGTGTTTTTCAACCTGTGGGTCGTGACCCCCAGGGGGTCGCAAATCCTTACACGGGGGGGGCGCCAGTAAAAGAAAAAGACAAGTGTTTGTAGGTCCTACACTACAATAAAGAAAACTACAGTTTTAGTGAGAAGGCTGTATCTGTTTATTTTACAGTACAATTGGTTTTTCAATTGATATTTAGGTCTCAACAGAAAGAAAATTAAATACGTAGTTTTTAAAATCACTGATATAAATTTAATATGGCCCTGGGGAGTCGCCAGAATTTTTTAACTTGTAAAAGGGTCGCGTATTCAAGAAGGTTGAAAAACACTGCTCTACTGTATATTGAATTTTGCCATTAATGCAATAATTATATGTTTTTGTGTATTCTGTTATTCAAATTTTTACATTAACAATGAGGATAGTTGAAACATTGATCTTCATTTCACTACATACGCTATAATTTAAATATTAATAAATAAATTCAGTCTATTACTGAGTTTTTATGAATACAGAAAACATTGATCATCTGTTTAGGTTGATCAGATCAGAAGAAAGACATGATCCGTTCTTTATTTCAGTATAAATATGGATAGTTGTTTATAAACTATACACCAACGTTTTTTCTCTTAATTTTATTTAAATATGTAAATATTTCAAAAATTGTTTTAGCGGGGACAAAAAATGAATGAATCATTACTACTTTGAGATATTTTCATGTATCTTTGTCGGGTCGTTTCATTTGGAAATTTTAGTGGGACATTACTTTTCTATAGTAGTATCTACGGTTAAAACTTGTTCGTGATACAACAGTAATTAAACAGTAAATAAAATAATAAATACACAAAAATTGGACTAAAAATCAAAACATGTTTTCCATATTACAGATAAGTGCAGAGTGATCTTGATTTTATATCGAATTCTATTATATTACTTACTTAGTTACATTATATATACTTACTTCAGACGATTCTTTTTGTGAAGGTTTAGACTTTTTGATGGAATCTGTGGTCACGTTTATCAATAAATCCATGATTTTTATTACACGTGAAATAACACATGACCCAGAGTCTTTAAGCTGCAGCGACCCCTAATGAAAAAAGTATTTTAAAAATATAAAATATTACATTTTTATTTTAATACGTAATATGGCTTAGTTTAATCGATTTTTTTCATTAAAATTAATTTTTAATAATAAAATAGTTGATTATATAATATTTAAAGATTATAGCTTATAGTAGAATAAATAGGGTGTTTTTTAAGCTCTACGCTCTCTGGGCACTAAAACGACCTTTCTTTAGCAAGCCTTTTAATTTTTTTTTACTCTTTTCGCCCTGTGGGCGAAAAGAGTAAAAAAAGAGGGCATCTTTTTGCAGGCCCATTATGGGTTCGGCCAGGCCCACAATGGGGCTGCCGGGTGGTGAGGGACGGGGCCCGACATAACCGAACGGACCACCCCCCGAAAAATTCCTGGGGATTTTTCGACCCGTTCGGATTCGAGCCCGGGTCCCCCAGAGCAATAGGCTGCCACCTTGACCGCACGGCCATCCGGCCGCCCCTTTAGCAAGCCTATTGTAGATTCGGCTAGGGACACAACGGGGAGGCAGGATAGTGAGGAACTGGACCCGACATATCCGAAGAAGACACCAAAAAACTCATGCGACATATCCGAAAGGGACACCCCAAAAAACCATCCGGATTCAATCCCAGAGCGGTCGGCTACCATCTTAGTCGCTCGTCCATCGGCCATCTGAAGCGATAGGGCCTAGGACTGTTTTCAAAATTTCGTTGCATTTGCGATAAATATATAAATTCAGTTGGAAAATGTAAAGTAAATTAGAAATTTTGCAATCATGTAGTGGTTTTTCACAGTAAAGAAAAGGAAATTTGAAATAAAAACAAAATGAAACTTATTTTTTCTCCCTCTTTTATCATCTTCAATGTCGTTGTCGAACTACAACCAATCCCATTGCGGCCAAGCCTGTCTGCAAGAAGGCTCAAATAACCCGTAATTTTCTGTTGCCGTGTTAACAAATCGATGAATTAACTTAATGCTATCAGCTGCGGTAAGACTCTTAGGGACGAGTTTAGTTGCAACGATTATAACTAAAATGGTGCGGATAAAAAAACAATCAAAATGGCTATAAATATGACGACAATTTGACAACATCCATCAAGACTGTTTCGAAAATTGGAGCTAAGAAATTTCATAATCGAAATTGAAGAAGTTCAGATTCCAAAATAATTACCATTTTTCCTCCCCGAGGGCGTTTTTTCATATCCATCGTGGGTTCAGCCAAACCCACAATGGGGGCAGCCGCTGAAAGACAGACCACTTGTAAAAAATTCTGGGATTTCTCACCCACATTCGATTCCGGATATTCCAGAATGGTGGACTAACGCCTTAGCCATTTCGGTCATACGGCCTTCGATTTATAAATATTTTTAATGTGCTCATAAATATTAAATGATGAACAGATGATAAATGTTCGTTAAATCTATAATTCAAATGCAAATTCGAACAAAAAATTTATTGAAATAAATTTCGAATTTAACGGTTAAAAATCTGTTATTTCAGGAATATTGTGTCCATCATCGAACATTTAATAATGGATACTCAAATAAGTACATACAGAAAGTCTATGTATCATAATCCATTGCTTCATAGGGTAAATTATTCTCTTTTTATTATTTTCATTTTACTTTTTTAAGTTAAAAAATAATTTATTTTTGATACAGACGCAAACCGCCAAGAGAATGACGTATTGCATAAGATTACCTGATAAAAACTTTACCTACGGTATGAAGAATATCTGTCTAGATGGGGGAGTAGCCGAAGGTAAGGTTGTTCTGTAAGTACAAGATGTTCGAAGATATTAATATTAATTTTATTCATCTGCAGCCCTTGGTAATTGGCATAAAGGAACATTAACACCTAGTAAATCACCTGGTAAAAACTTCGTTAAAATTAATTATGATGCCGCAAAATTTCGTGCAACAAATGCTGTGGAACAAAAATACTTTAGAGAAGAATTCTGTAAAGGGGAGAAATACTTACTTCGACCACAAAAGACGTTTGGAACCATTAAAATTCCAGATATTATATTCGGAAAACCTAATAAGTGAGTCACCATCTTAATTAATTTTGTATTAAAAAGTGATGTTTTAATCTATATTTTTCTTCAGATACGATGAAAATATATCTTTACTTCTTCAGAATGCTTATTTTCACAGATGGCTTGATAAGATGAAGAAGAAAGAAGTGCAAAAAAGGAATATTTTGGTATTAATTTTAAAATTTTATTATTTGAATTAATTTAGCTAAAGTAAATTTGTTTTTTTAATTTTCATATATTAGCCTCCTCCAAATTTTATAAAAGAAAATATAGTAAAAAATCGGATGCCAATTCTGCCTCCTCCAGCTCCTGTGCAGAAACCGTGGAAAATGGCAAGATTCATAAAGGTTTATATATTTTTAATTAATTCTATATTCTTTGACGTAGGAAAAATCAAAAAGAGCACTCTTTCAGTTAGGCCATCGAGTCGATTGTTGGAACAGAGCTTATGGTTTCCAACCTATTTCCGTTCATAAGCCGATTATAGTGGATGAGGATCTTATAGACAAGAAACCCTATATATGCGACGAAAACAGTCCTCCTATAAACATAGACCAGGTTCTGGAAACTACTTGGAAAGAAAATTCAGGAAAAAGTGAACCGGTACCTTCCAAATTACCATCAATAAAATCTGAAGCGGAAAAGAAAGATGAAAATCTTCATAAATGGATACTTCCTCCCGGCTCTCATTCTGTTTCTACTTCTAAGTTAACGGATAAATATAGAAAAAAGTCACTTATTTCTGTATAATTATTTTATCATTATATTCATTTTAAATCGAAATTAAATGCAAGAAATGCGATTTTCATGAATTCAAGAATGTTTTTAGTTTTAGTAATTTTTTCTGTAAACGTGCTTTATTATCTTTCTTTTCTTTTAATTCCTTTCCGCCCTGCGAGCACTAAAAGGGCCTTTTTTTAATGGAGGTGAGGAACGGGACCCGACATATCAAGACGGACCACCTCCCGAAAATTTCCTGGGGTTTTTTGAGTCTGGATTCGATGCCAGAGCGATAGGCTGCTACCTTAAGCTCTGGATCTTCCGGTCGTCCGTGCTTTATTATCAACACCCAGTGGCGCGTTATTTTATGGGCATAAAGGGCAATTGCCTGGGCCCCACCAGTAGGGGCCCCAAACAAATTTTTTATAAGAAAATATTTCCCCAAAAAATTCCCTCGAAGAAAAATGTCTGAAAGGCCCCCTAATTCAAATTTGCCTGAGTCCATGAAGCTATAACGCGTTACTGTCAATACCAGTCTCAAAATCAGTAAAATTATCTATTGAAATAACGGAGTTTAATTTAGGCCTTCACAAATTACCATATAACTTTTGAAATTTTGAACTATAAAGTTAATGTTTTATTCTAGTCTGTTTACTGGTAACTTGGACTGAAAAATTGTCCAAAGAGCAGATTTTAGAGAAATCGGGAGAAATTAGAAGCATTCTTAACACTATAAATAAACGAAGGAACAGCATGAAAGGTGTTACAGTAGAACGTCGTTTATCCGAATCAATTTTGTGGACTGGGTTTGTTCGGATAACTTATTTTTCGGATAACCGATTATGTACGAAAAAATACATTAATCTATCCCATGTTGAAATTTTTCTCCGTCGCGTGTTGTTTCGCGTTGAATTTTCGTCGATGTTAAGCCTAATGTAAACTTTTTAAAATAATAATCGTGGCTATTGCATCGTTAAAAATTATTTCTTTATTTTTTACAAACAAAATAAATATATTGAAAAATATAAAAACAAAAAAATTATACTTTAGAAGTTAATCTAGTATCAAAAACGTACGATTCAGCATGACACACAGTCCTCAGAAAAACACCACACAAAAGTGCCAGTGCTGCCAGCTAAAAAACACACATCAAAAAAAAAATATTGGAGTAGCCCAAGATATAGCCAAAGATTGCAGCGCCACAGCACTAGCGAAAATTTAAATTTGCCGACTGGAATTCTTTTGGATAACCGTAACCGACGTTTCGGATAACCGGCTTTCGGATAAACGACGCTCTACTGTATTTAGGAAATGGTAGAGAGATAAGCGGTAAGAGAACCAACAAGAATGGAGTATTGGGATATGGTTAAAGGCACTAAACAGAAGTGAATTATAAACTTGATGTCCACAAACCCTTGGATTAAGAACAGAAGAAATTCCTATATATATATAGGTTATATATAGGTTACATAAACATTATGGTATGAAGATTTATAGTCTACCATTATGTGTTCGGATCTACTAGCTCATAAGATGACAAACAGATAACTCAAAACATAGAAGAAAGAATTTCCAATTGAGGAAATTAAGAACGAATTTCCGATTCAGATGACAAGTCAAACATACACGAGAAACCTATTTTTGCAAACTCAGAGAGTGAAACTTCGATGACCGAAAGGTATCGAAACTGTCAGACTGCTGTATGACACCGGAAGCCAACGATCATACATTCATAAGTTTCAGAAACTAGTGTACTGTACAGAATTAAATGAAAACAGTTCTAGCCTTTTACAACAGAAATATTTTATTAATTAAACGTTTTCGATCGACTGGGCAGCCATCCTCAAGATCGAACCAATAGCTGATTGGGTATGTGGAATACAGAACTTATACAATTTTAAAATTTTAAATTACAAAATGGTTTCTTAAATTTCTCAAATTAAATTCTTAGATCGGCTTCAAAAATGAAGCGTGAATAGGCAAGTGAAATGAAACAAAATAAAAAATAAAATACATTAAAAAATATAGTTTTATTAGCGGTATATAATACAATAATAAATACCTCTTTTTGGTTTAAAACTTACAGTATTTTCCAAGCTGTGGACAAGCAAGCAACATCTTTATGGGTACTACATAAATTCTTAATAGTGTGTTTGTATGAAATTATCTTTTCGATGGCAAATTCCTAAAAATTGCCAGAGACCGGTGGCTTGGGCTCTGGCAGTTTGTAGGAATTTGCGTCTTCAAAGTGAATGTTTTCAGAAACTGTGGCCACGATAGCTAAAGTCTTAACTTTTGCTTTAGGTACTATACAATACATAACATTCTTTTAAATTACCGATTTAGCAAAACTGCCTATCATAAATACAGTCGACCCCCCTATAACACGAGTTCCTATAGTTCGGATTCCTATATCATGGCGAAAAAATTGCGACAGTATTCGTATAAACACGCTAAAAGAGACTCGTATAATACAGTAAAACGTCATTGCCGACTCATGTCGCGACAGGATTGGTTGAATCTAGACCAATAGCGGATATTGCACAAACCGTTGAGTTTAAACAAGCAGCGGACCTACTAAAAACCATTTATTATTTAACGGCCATAAAAATTATATTTATATTAATGATGTCTCCAAAGTTTAGCGAATTTTTCGCAGAAAAATAACTTATCAGAAGCACGTGCCCGTCGTTCGATGCGCCGCTCCGCGACGAAAACAAGCTTAAGCAATGGCGTAGTTGAACGGTGCACACTCGGTAAGTAATCCTACAATTTTTTATTTATAGCATAGTTTATATGGATTATTCCCAAAAAATTATACGTGTTTTGGAAATGTTGAGTCGAATTAGTGTAGAATCGATTAATTTTATGGAAGAAACCTTTCAAACAGCCGTAGTCCGTAAACTGCATACGTGCCGGGCTGTGATTGGCTGGACTCGTAGAAAATGGATTCATAAAAACCGGAACGTATCTAACGTATTATAGGGGGGTCGACTGTACATACATACATACATATCGTCATGTCCATTTTCCAGAAGACAAGAGACAGCAGACAATACTCATCCATTTGTCAAATTCTCGATACCATCGCTTCTGATATCTTCTTCCGCACACCCGCATCTATGACGCTCACAATCTTTTACTCTTTCAAATGCTCATATACTTACCCCAACCAAGATTTCCTTGGTCATCCCTGTTTCTCTTCCCTTCCACGCTTCTCTATAGCACTTCCTCTGCATTCATTCTCTCAACATGTCCAAACACCGTAAAGCACAACTGTGCTCATCTTTTGTATGAAACTAACCTCACCGCCGATACAAATTTTCTACTATGACGCAAAAAAATGACGTATTTAAGTGTTATATGTTTTGTTGACCACTTCTTTGTGTTACTTCCATGAATG